GTGGCCACGCTGTGCAAAATCATGTATACTTACATGACTTTGCATTTCTGGGTAGGGCAGCGCGCGGCCGGAGATGTCAATCACCGGGTCCTGGCCAGCGATTCATGGCCGGCACTCGTGATTGGCAGAAAATCTGATGGGAGAGATCTATGTGTAAACAATACAGATCTCTCTCCTGTCAGCAGGGACAAGCTGCTTTCTATCTCTCTGCAAAGCACACAGTACCCATATCAAATTTTTTATCTTTTTTTTTTGGACAGATAGAGTTTTCTTTTAGTGGTATTTAATCAACACTGGGGTTTTTTTTTTTTGCTAAACAAATGAAAAAAAAAAGACTGAAAATTTTGGGGAAAAAAATGTTTTTCTTCGTTTCTGTTATAAAATGTTGCAAACAAGTAATTTTTCTTATTCATTGATGTACTCTGATGAGGTTGCATTGATGGGCACTGATAAAGCTGCACTGATGGGCACTGATGAAGCTGCACTGATGAGGTGTCACTGATGGGCACTGATGAGGCGTTACTGATGGGCACTGATGAGGCTGCACAGATGGGCACTGATGAGGCTGCACTGTTGGGTACTGATGGGGCTGCACTGTTGAGCACTGATGAGGCTTCACTAATGGGCACTGATGAGGCTACGCTTTGATTGGCCCTTTATGAGGTTGCATTGATGGGCACTGATAGGCTGCACTAATAGGCACTGATGAGGCTGCACTGATGAGGCGTCACTGATGGGCACTGATGAGGCGTTACTGATGGGCACTGATGAGGCGTTACTGATGGGCACTGATGAGGCTGCACTGATGGGCACTGATGAGACAGCACTGATGGGCACTGATGAGGTTGCACTGTTGGGCACTGATGAGGCTGCACTGTTGGGCGCTGATGGGGCTGCACTAATGGGCACTGATGAGGCTGCGTTGTGATTGGCCCTTTATCTTGATATGTGATCAGCTGTGTCCAAAAGACACAGTGATCACAGAGCGCACCCAATGCGTACCCCAAGGGCACTGACAGGGCGGGGTCTTGAATGTCTATAGACGCCCTCCCAGAACTGGATGATCACGCTGTATCCGTATTTCGGCTATAGTGCAGTCGGCAAGTGGTTAACCATTATGTGTACTATTGTTTCTTTTATGTGTAACATGTCATGTGTCCTGTGTGTGTGCTAGTGTTGAGTATTGAGAAGTATTCAACATTTGTTGGGGAAGAGGCAGGGGCGGACTGACAACTCATGGTGCCCTGGGCAATAGGGGATCATGGGGCCCCTGTGTCCTTGCCCAAACTCAAAAAAGCCTATGAAAAAGGTACCAGGGGCATCTCATGGGGCCCCCTACTGACCCCGGGCCCTCGGGCAGTGCCCGAGTTTCCAAATGGTCAGTCCGCCCCTGAGAAGAGGGTGAAGATGGTACCAGGTAGCTGGCCTAGGGGAAAAAAATATAATTCAGACCCTGCTTAACAAAAAAGTGTACTTTCACTTAGCTAAGTAAATAGGGTCAATTTTTTTTTCATTTTGGAAAGCCAAAGAACGTTTAAAAAACTATTTTTGCTAGCAGAGTATTTTTGATTTAAGTGAACACTGCTTCATCTTATTTACTAAGCTCAATGAACATTTATTTTGCAACGGGAACAGTTACTTTAATAAATCAACCTCAATATTTTTATCTGTGCACGCACTACCAAAACATTGCTTCAATGTGCACCAATAAGCAACCTAAAATAGAAAATTGAAAACAGAACATATTTTGGTTTTATACAATTTTTTGTGTTTATTTCATCAACAACATATCAAATAATTAAAATCACAGTTAAAGTACTTCCACAAAAAAAATAACAGGTACAAAAATCAAAGTCAAAATCGCTTCTTTTTCTAAAAAAAAGTCCAAAAAATCCTGAGATAGAATGCCTAACACAAAGTGCAAATTCTAACTATAAAGTAACATATTGAGGTAAAACGTCTTTAAAAATACATATATATTCAAATAACGTCTAAATAACGTCTCACACTGCGAAGTGACTGAGGTTTCTAGTTGACAGTTACGAAAAAAAAAGGTAGCAATTTCCCATAGAAAATGCCACCTCCTCCCTTACCACTAACTGAAACCTTATGGTGAAATCTAACAGCTGGTGGGAAACCACCAGAAATTCAAATTTCAGTGTAAGGGGATTTGAGGTAGAAAAATATTACGTACATAAGAAAAATAATTTTTTTGAATTGTAAAAATTCAAAAACAAAAATGAAGGTAAAGCTGTATTCCAATGATGTGCACATAAACAATATTTCCTATTTGTAAAACAAATACATTTATGAAAAATGTAAAGTGGCAATTCCATATAAATGGAAAATGTATTGTTTCACATATTTAAAATAATTTTGAATCCATTAACATCTGTAATGCACTTATCGAATATATAGAACAAAACATTTTAATCATATATTTAACGAATCAAAAGGAAACAAGTAAGAAAAGTTCATTGTTAAGGTTTCCATACACTTTAAATGAAAAAAAAAATACTTTCCACTATTATCCACTTTTGGATGTAACATTTCAGAAACCAGCAACCACCAGTCAGCTTATATCTTTCATCATTCTCAGTGTTCAGTGCTGATGAAATACTGCTATGAAATACTGCACATCATAGCCCTTAAAGACTGAAATGGACTGAGGCTAGAAATATCTATATTGTATAAAAACCTCTCAATTATAAATGTAAAATATTTAAAAATTATTGAAAATATAAATGCAGTCAAATATATTTAAAATATAAATGCATTAAATGGACCAAGTATAAAAATACTTATATTGTATAAAACATGTCTCAATTATAAATGTAAAATATTGAAAATATATTGAAAATATTAATGCATTAAAATAGATTTAAAATGTAAATGCATTAAAATAGATTTCAAATATAAATGCATTAAATGGACCGAGTCTAAAAATATTTATATTTTATAAAAAAAAGTCTCAATTATAACTTTAAAATATATTAAAAATATAAACGCGTTACAATAGATTAAAAATATAAATGCATTAAAATAGATTTAAAATATAAATGCATTAAAACATTACTTTGAAAAAGATTTAGCACCGTATCCCTGTGCACAGAATGTTGGCATGATCAGTTCTACTGTTTGAAACTGTTTGAACAGTTTAAAAAATCATCTCAAAGATCAAAGAAAGTATCAAGTACTGTACCTACAGAGGCTCCACATGAAAGTCTTCAAATAAATCCTACAATATAAACTAAATTATATAAAAAAAAAATCTGTCAGAACCATTATCAGTCCACATGACCTCTTGTTATAATAAAGTATCTTACTAAAGCTCTGCTCCTTTAATGTCATTATTAAGGATGAATATATACCTTAGGATCTTAAAAAATCAAAAATGAGAAACATTGGGGTCTATTTATCAATGTTTTGGGGGGGGGGGGGGTTTTAGCTAGAGTGTGGAATAGTTAAAAACCCCTTTTTGTGTTCTATTTGGGAGATTTGCCTTGACTTCCAATTCTTTATACACAACAGGAAGTGAGAGGAAATCAGCTATAACAGTAGTAATTTTTGTGTTCTATTTGGGAGACATTGGGGTCTATTCAGGGGCAGACTGACCATTTGGAAACGCGGGCACTGCCCGAGGGCCTGGGGTCAGTAGGGGGCCCCATGAGATGCCCCTGGTACCTTTTTCAAAGGCTTTTTTGAGTTTGGGCAAGGACTCAGGGGCCCCATGATCCCCTATTGCCCAGGGGCCCCATGAGTTGTCAGTCTGCCCCTGGGTCTATTTGTCAATGTTTTTGGGAGTTTTTTTTAGCTAGAGTGTGGAATAGTTAAAAACCCCTTTTTGGTGTTCTATTTTGGAGATTTGCCTTGACTTCCAATTCTTTATACACAACAGGAAGTGAGAGGAAATCAGCTATAACAGTAGTAATTTTTGTGTTCTATTTGGGAGACATTGGGGTCTATTCAGGGACAGACTGACCATTTGGAAACTCGGGCACTGCCCGGGGGCCTGGGGTCAGTAGGGAGCCCCATGAGATGCCCCTGGTACCTTTTTTATAGGCTTTTTTTTAGTTTAGGCAAGGACACAGGGGACCCATGATCCCCTATTGCCCAGGGGCCCCATGAGTTGTCAGTCTGCCCCTGTACACCCCTTGAAGGTCAGGGACAGATGTGAATGTACAATATTGCACAGTGGCTAAATGGTTAGCACTTCCACCTGGCAGTACTAGGGTCTTTGGTTCAAATCTCAACCACGGCACCACCTGCCTGGAGTTTGTCAGTCCGCCCCGGGTCTATTTGTCAATGTTTTGGTTGTTTTTTTTAGCTAGAGTGTGGAATAGTTAAAAAAACCCTTTTTGTGTTCTATTTGGGAGATTTGCCTTAACTTCCAATTCTTTATATACAACAGGAAGTGAGAGGAAATCAGCTATAACAGTAGTAATGTTTAGCCACGAGGTCATTATTGCTTACAGAAAAGAACTAAAATGTTGCTCTTACTGCTTGCTAATACTTAATTTTTATTTATTTTTAAATAAAGTAAACCCCTCTCACTTGTCCTTAACACCTACATTCTTAATCATCAAAGTGGAACAATGATCGCTTTCAATACTGCAATTAAAACAGGACGTTTAGTATTACCGATTCATTTTCCTCTTCACAAACATTAAAAGCACTTTGAGTTTGCTATATTGATGATACTTATTCAATATTAAAACAAACACACTGCTGGTAAGGACCAAAATCTATAAAAGTCCCTTCACCTGCACAAAAGCCAAGACAGATAACGTTGCTCTGGAGCCTGATGTTCTATGTAAGCTACTCAGAACTCTTCTGTTAACTCTCGGAACCCTTTGAAAACTATCACTCATATTCCTTATTGCTATCCAAAAGGAGTATCACTGGCTCTTAACTTTAGGCTGCTAGGCCTCCATAAAAGGAACACCTGGTTAACTCTAGGCAGAACATAAAACGAACGTATAGATGTCTGACTGATGAAATCAGAATTCCATTGAATCTAAATTATCAGTACAACAATCTAAACTTTCCTCTTGTGTTGCCTGAGGATCTATATCTACTGTAAAACCTTGATGCTTCAGATTAATATGGGCATTCATAAACTTCTGCAGATATTTGGAGGTGTACAGCCAGTGATGCTTCAACACATCTTCCATCTCATATATTTTGGACTGACGAGCATTCATTTTTCGGAAACGTCTGAATAACTTGTTGCCAGACTCATTTCCTTCGCTGGCCCAGGCTCCAATGGAGCCATCGCGTTCAATGATCTCTGGAACGTGGGCAAGGGTTTTGTGAAAATAGTTGGTAATCTTGCCCGCATATCTGTACTTGAACTTTGTGGACAAAAGTTCTGCAAAACGTTGAGAATGATAACTATATTGGCATAGAAGTTCAGGGCATTCTTTGGCTGGGCATGAAGAGCGCCACACTGGTTTCATTTTGAGGTACAAGTCCATTAGTTCTTTAAGTGCCAGTTGTCTCTCTTCACATTGCACTAATTCACATACTGCTTCTACAGTCTCCTTAGCCATGAGCCTCCGGGCAAAGTTTCCATTCATTCTCATTATTGGTTTTAGGTTCATTTTCTTTCTAAGGTGTTTGTCAAGTATTGTTTGCCATTTCTTTCTCTCTTCTTTGGTTGCATTGGGATTTTTGTAGACCTCCCCTATTTCTAGCTGAAATATCCGGTAAAATTCAGCTGCATTTCCAATGTCACAATGTAAGGCATCAATGGACGGAAGGGTTTCAATAAATGGCTTTGCTGAAACTCCTTTCACTCTGTCACGAAGCTCATCAACAGATTCATGATGAGGGTTGGCTCTCCATGTCTCATAGCGCTGCAAGTTCTCAGAATGACTTCTGGTTATAGAGTGGAAGACTAAGTTCTGAGAAGCTTCCAGGCGAGTAGCATCACAGAGGGTACAAATATAGATAGAGCCTGAGGCTTCCAGCCCTTCTACTTCTCTCACAAGCTTCTCATCATACCCTGTTCCACGAAAGATAAATTTGAAACTTCTGAGGATCCCCCCAATCTCCAACATGAGTTCACTGGATTTCATGGCTTCTCTCTCAGCTATCAAAGGACTCAAGATGGCTGTAAGAGTTTCATGGTCTGATTCATCAGCAAGCATTAGACATAGAGGTTTGCAGCAAAGTTCAGAGTTTGGTTTGGCTTCTTCAAAGATTCTAACAGACCCACTGTTGTTGGGAACGCTGATGTTCATGATTGTGAATGAGAAACGTACTGCTTTCTCAGGAACTGCAGGACCACTGCCATGCTTCTCGCTGACATCTCCCATTCCATCACAAGACTCTTTGATTATCACAGTAAAAGGACCACTTAAGTATTCCTCCAAATCCTGAGATTTTAAGCCTTCAAGAATATCCTCTTCCATGTCTTTTAGAGTTGAAACTAAGGCTGAATCATACCTAAACCTTTTAGAAATAGCTTCCACTGGGTATTCATCAACAGAACGATTCAGTCCTGAAAGGCCATCAATGATGCCAACGTCTGTACTGGTAGAGACATTCTTCAGAGGAGGCATCCATTCAAAAGGATGATACCCTGGCAGCAAGGCCTTCTCTGCATTTCTGAGAGCATGGAGTGGCTGAAAGATCTGACGACCAGTTGTGGCTTTTACTGTTCTGTACATTTTGTGGTACTGGCTGCAGCTCAGGAAGGTGTTTACTCTTATTGCAAGACAAACAGCAGGGTGAAGACCTGCTCCTCTGCCTTCCATGATGGCCTCTAACTCATCTGCTTGCCGGTGCTCATTCCTTGCTCTTAGGGCCAGCAGAAAGAGAGTCAAGCAAACTGATTTAACATCTCCCCCTTCTTCTTTGTCAGAAAAGGCCTTTACTTGCATCTTTAGCTCTCTAAGACGGTGTTTTTGAGCTCTCCTTGTCAGCGACAGCAGATGTTGTCTGGGGCGACCACCTTTGTTGATATGAGCATAGGCTTCTTTACCTTTAATCTCCTTATGTTTGGAGATGTGGTGAGAGTATTTTCCAAGACAGACCTCTTCATCACACCCAGCCACTGTACATTTTAGCACCAAGGAATTTAAAATATTCAGATAAGATTTTACTGGTGTTGTAAGGTCAGTTGGGAAGCATGTGTACCTGCAGGCTGGGCAATAACAGCCCATGATCTTGATATACTTAAGAATGCAGTTCCTGCAGAAAAGGTGCTTGCAAGCAGTTTGCACTGGATCAGACAGAATATGTTCACACACCTGGCAAGTCAGCGATTTGACAAAGTCAGAAGGATAGTCCACAACCAGGAGATTGGCATCAAGGTGGATTTTCTTGCAGTTAGCTTTTATCTGATTCAGAGCTTTACTGTTTTTCCAGAACGATGTGGTATTTCCATTTTTGTTCTTTTTTCCATGCTCTATGCTGATTTTGCGTTTTTTAGGCAGGAATGAATTCTGGAGAAGTCCTCCTTTTCTTTTTCCCCAGGCTTTGGAGGAATTGCAAACTTCGCATGTGGTCGAGTGAGACTTCCACTCTACAACTTTATTGTGAGGGAAATAAACCTCACTGGAGGTATTGGTGAACTTCTGATGCATGATAGTCCAGCAGTTATGACAGAAGCGCGTTGGATGAATGGTGTCCAAGTCACCCCTGACGTCAACTTTGAAAACCTTGGAGATAAGTTCAGGCCAAGAGGTGGCTTTCCTCTCTCTCCGTCTTAGGACATCTTGAGTTTCATCGTCCACGGGCCCGTGGACTGGATATTGTCTGCTCTGTTTATCCAATTTAAAAGAAACACCACAAACACGGCACAGGTGTTGCAAAATAGCCATGTGAGCATCTACTGCCATTCTTTTTGACTCTGAGTCATTGTCCATCATGCTTTCTTCATGACTTATGCATTCTGAAGGTGATTGTGATAAAGTCTCCAGACTAAGGTCATCTGAGCTGACATCAAAATAAGGTGATGTCTCCTGGGAGCTGTTGCAGGACACTCCAGTATCATCTTGTTCCTCTTGCGAGGGGGACTTTTCCAAAGATTTCACCCGAAACAGCTTAAACTTCCAGTCAGAGAATTTCCTGTATGGCTGATGCATTTTGGTGGATACTGAATCCCATGGCCCACAGACCAAAGGAAAATCCATGTTTTTGATTGCTGAAATGTAAAAAAAAAACAAATATTAATAAACTCTGAGCAGCACATCTACATGTTTTTCAATTTGTTTTTGAAATTTAACTTGGAGTCTACCTAGCCTTCATAAAGATTTGTTTGACATGTTATAAACACTTTGCTGCCAGTCTATTCCAATGTGCTGAAGCCAAAACCCAAACTTCTGTAACTCTATACTAGTTTTCAGGCACTTGGCGTTTGGGGTCAGAACCCAATGGATCAGTTCACACTCTAAAACTAGTGGGCAGGTCATTGCAGTCTAGTTATTCAAATACTACCTCCAGAGTTCAGAGCAAGGAAACTTTTTGTCCTATATTGCCTTCATGACGGTTTGTTTGACATGTTCTAAAACCTTGCATTTATAAAGGTTTTTTTGACATGCTAAGAAAACTTTGCTGCTAGTGTGTTCCAATATGCTAATGCCAAAACCCATAGACCTCATTAACTCTGTGCTAGTTTTCAGGATTGACAAGTGGGTCTAAGCTCTGGGTCTACAATTGTGTACTGAATCCGATGGATCAGTTCAAACTTCAAAATTAGAGGGCAGGGCATTGCAAAGTGGTTATAGGAACACTACCTGCAGAGTTCACAACAAGGCTGCAATTTGTCCTTCATGTCAGTTTTACAAAGTGGTTTAACCATATCCAGAAATCCACCCAATGTTGTGTGAATGAGAATATACTGGATCAGTCTTAATAATTACCTACGCAAAGACAAAGTTAAAGAGGAATTTCTATAAAACACTGTACATGGTGCACTCTATGGAGGTATCATAATATCTATATTATGAGAAAGAAAAAGAAAAGAAAAGAAAAGGAAAAGAAAAGAAAAAGAAAAAGATAAAGAAAAGAAAAAGAAAAGAAAAAAAAAAAAAAGAAAAGGAAAGGAAAGGGAAAGGAAAGAAAAGGAAAGGAAAGGAAAGGAAAGGAAAGGAAAAAGAAAAAAAAAAGAAAAAAAGAGTGTCAGCATAGAAAACCCTAGTGAATAATAAGTTAGCGTATTTTGCAAGGGATCAGAGATCACAAAAATTACCTACACAAAGATCAAATTCAAAGAGGAATTTCTATAAAACACTGTACATGGTGCACTCTATGGAGGTATCATAATATCTATATTGTGAGAAAGAAAAAGAAAAGAAAAGGAAAAGAAAAGAAAAAGAAAATAAAAAAAGAAAGTAAAAAGAAAAGAAAAGAAAAGAAAAAGAAAAGTAAAAAAAGAAAAGGGAAAGGAAAGGAAAGGAAAAAGAAAAAGAAAAGAAAAAAGTGTCAGCGTAGAAAACCCTAGTGAATAATAAGGTAATGTATTTTCCAAGGGATCAGAGATCACAAAAATGACCTACACAAAGATCAAAGTTAAAGAGGAATTTCTATAAAACACTGTACATGGTGCACTCTATGGAGGTATCATAATATCTATATTGTGAGAAGGAAAAGAAAAGAAAAGAAAAAAAGGGACAGCGTAGAAAAACCCTAGTGAATAATAGGGTAGCATATTTTCCAAGGGATCACAAATCACAAAAATTACCTACGCAAAGTTAAAGAAAAGGAAAGGAAAAGAAAAAAAAAAAAAGTAAAAGAAAAGGAAAGGAAAGGAAAAGAAAAGACAAAGGAAAGGAAAAGGAAAGGAAAAAGAAAAGAAAAAGAAAAGGAAAAGGAAAAGAAAAGAAAAAGAAATGAAAAGGAAAAGAAAAGAAAAGAAAAAGAAAAAAAGAGTGCCAGCGTAGAAAAACCCTAGTGAATAATAAGGTAGCGTATTTTCCAAGGGATCACAGATCACAAAGACTGCTCAGACATGCAGTAGTTCACAATTTAAAGTAAGAGTTTTTTTTTATGAAGTAGAAATGATGTTAAAAAGTAATATGAAAAACTTATTTTGACTAAATTCATGCACAGAGCTGTGTGATCGACACCTGCCCATCTCTGTACAGAGACTTATATAAAAGGCTTTAACACCCTTCGTTTTATACTGCTCTTTAGTTGGCAATAGCAGGACAGATTCAGGACATAAGAGCAGCTTCTGCTGTGTTTCAGTCTGCATTAGGACACTGTGATATTATTTCATAGGTGACTGACCCATTTTAATAAGTAATAACTAATTAACTGACCTTGCGCGGTTGCATGTTTCCTTTTGCAGCAAGCCTACATACAGACAGGTACTGGGAGTCTGTGGGATGTCAAAGGTAGCAATACACAATACTAGCAATGGCAGAATATATTTGCCACCTTTTCTGGGTAATAATGCTGTGATTTAGATTTTTTTTCCCCTATTAAAACATTGGCAACCATTCTTATTTTATTTACTGGCCAGCTGCTTTTTTTTTGTAACATAATTCTAAGAATGATATAATTTAAAAACTTCAGAAGTGGAAAAAACTCTGCATTCTCCACAGCCACTAAATTCCAGCTAATTATATTACAAAATGTAAGGATATAACATGAAACACCTGTTTGTTTGCCATGCTATAGACTTTTATCACTTTGCTAATGTATATGTTATTTTTAGTCCCATTGCTGAAAATAAAGAGCGTTATTGCAGATAATGATCATTACAGCTAAGTGGATTGAACTGCATGTGATATGCAATTCATAAGAGTTAGATGGTAAGATATAAGATGTGAAGTGCATATGTATGTATACGTGTGATTACAAGCAAAAACAACAATAATGATAATAATAAGATAATAATTATAATAATATTGAGAATAATAGATATCATTTTAATTAGTGTGATTACTAACAAAAAAAAACAATAATGATAATAATAAGATAATAATAATTATAATAATATTGCTACTAGTAAAAATAACAATATAAATAATAATAGATACCATTTTAATTAGTGTGATTACCAACAATAATGATAATAATAAGATAATAATAATTATAATAATATTGCTACTAGTAAAAATAACAATATTAATAATAATAGTTATAATTTTAATTAGTGTGATTACCAACAAAACCAACATGATAACAACAACAATAATAATGATGATGGTGATAATAATACAAATAATAATAATAATAACTGAATAAAAATAATACAGATGATCATAATAAACATTTAGCCACTGTGCTGCCCATTATTATTATTATTATTATTATTATTATTATTATTATTATTATATTCATTAGTGTGATTATTAAAATCAATAACAATAAAAATAATATTAAAAAGCAACAATACTACAAATAATAATAATATTACTGAATAAAAATAATAATACTAATAATAATAATACTAATAATAAATAATAATTATTATTATTATTATGTTCATTAGCTTGATTATTAAAATCAATAACAATAATAATATTAAAAAACAATAATACTACAAATAATAATAATATTAACTGAATAAAAATAATACTAATAATTATTATTATTATTATAATACAGGATCTATATAGCGCCAACACTTTGCGCAGCACTTTACAAAATGAAGTTAGACATTACAGTTACAATACAATTTGGTACAAGAGGAAAGTTAGAGTTAGAGGTTACATTATATTATTTATTTATTTCAGGTACTTATATAGCGCAGTCAATTTACGCAGCACTTTACATATATATAGTACATTCACATCAGTCCCTAACCCTCAAGGGGCGTACAATCTAAGGTCCCTAACTCACATTCATACATACAAATACTAGGGACAATTTAGACAGGATCCAATTTACCTACCAGCATATCTTTGGAGTGTGGGAGAAAACCGGAGTACCCGGAGGAAACCCAAGTACCCGGAGGAAACCCACGCAGGCAAAGGGAGAACATGCAAACTCCAGGCAGGTGGTGCTGTGGTTGGGATTTGAAAAAAAAACGACCCTAGTACTGCCAGGCGGAAGTGATAACCATTTAGCCACTGTGCTGCCCATTATTATTATTATTATTATATTCATTAGTGTGATTATTAAAATCAATAACAATAATAATAATATTTAAAAAAACAATAATACTACAAATAATAATAATAATAACTGAATAAAAATAATACTCATAATA